TGAACAAAAGGTCATACATAATTTATTTTCTCTAACCTCACCAAAAATTACAATATCAGTAAAGGTGTATATGATTTTGACGTTTTCTTCATATAAATATCTGTTAAGGTTAAGACTAATGTATACATAGTAGAAGAAAGCATCTCAGTATCTCAATACACAATCTGTAATGTAAGCATATTTTTAAAGAATGTTTCTTCAGGGGTTTTTTTTTGCGCTAATTTACAGTAATTAGCAATGATAATGCAATGTTAAAACTAATGGGTTCAGCAACCCATCATAATGACAAATAGCATTTTAACAACTAACAAAACACTTTCAGGAAAGTTTACGTAATGTACTGTATTTTGTACTACAAAATGACTTTGTATTACAAAATGTTTTTCTTTATTTTGTATGAGGATTGTGTGAGTGTGTTAGTGTGTGAGTATCATCCAATGAATGAGTAGATATTTTTTTATATTATTATTAAAAAATGTAGTTTGGGGGGGGCGGGGCTTGACCGTGATACTGAGCGGACGCACGGTCGGTGAGCTCTCCACACAATCTACCTAAAATCGCTGAAATACAGCTAACTGCCGACCACAGAAACTACAGACCGAGGTCTGAGGGTGCAGAAAACAAGCCGGCTATACTCCGTGACACTCGAGAGCAATGAAGGGAATGAAGAACTGACTCGGTACAAGCGGCCTCTCAGAAACCGACCGGGAGGGGCGGCCGACCTCCCCATCGGTAACTAAGCAGACTCTGCGGCTACTCGAACCCCGTTTTCCCCCCTGGACTGGTGGGGGTTATCCCAGTCCCAGCTGATCACACTTGGACTAAAGCCCACCACCCTAGCATCTGGCTTCAAAGCCGAGATGCACTGCTGCATCTTTCTTTACTCAAAATGGCGACAGCCTCCCCTTGCAACACATGGGGCCTGGGCCTCATGCAGCAAACCACTTACAGCTACATCGAACAAGGCAAGCAGCGCCTGGATGAAATCTTTAATGCCTTCTGGGCCAAACTGCAAGCCAGAACACAGCAGCTAAAACAACAGCCCATACCAGAGGTTAGAAACCGCGCAGTGCTGAAGCAGGGGAAATCACTTGTGGGCAAAGAACCTCCTACCCACACTCCAGCGACAAACCGCCATCACAGGCTGAGAACCTCCAGAGGCACAACAGGTAGACACCGACCAAACTGGCTGAAAATCTCCAGTAGGAGCAACCACCATCCACCAAGTTCCCACGGCCATCCCGGCAGGGGAGCAGGCTTAGCTCCCAGGCAGTCCCGAAACCCTGGACCCCAAACACTGGCATACACCCATGCCTGGAGATAGAAGAAAAACCTACCACAGCGCACACAAGCAAAAGAATACGCGGACCCACCGGACTGTGCCTAAATTTTTCAGCACCTCAGCACAGACCTGCTGCACTCACCCAGACTGGGAATAGGCTGAGGATCAGACTTACCCTGGGACAGCGTGATCGCTAAGAGAAGTACTCATAAGCAGCCACAACACCCTGGACATTTAACTGCCCCACTTGACGATAACGAGTATTAGCCCTTATGCATGCTGCTGGCTTGTGAGGGTGATTCTAGCCCGACACGAGCTTGCTACAGAGAGAAACAGTATTATTCCCTTTTCGTTTTATTACTCAATTGTACAGATACAGCTATGCTGGCTAATTACATGTCATTACATAATTTAACCTGATAACAGCCAGGCTACCAGCATGTACGGTTGGGAGATATCGCACCTCTATTAACGTGTTTACCGGGTGGTTTACAGCTCACCAGTTTAACATTGTAGTTTAACATTACAGTCTAACATGTTTTCAACATTATAAATTCTCTGATATATAGCTAAATACAATCTGACTAAGTCTACAAACCTCGCTTATCTGCGCTATATGTTAGGAATCTTGCCTGCTTAAAACATATAATACTCTTGTAATACATTCTTCAGTTATATGCATATTTAACGTTATCTTTGAACATCACATGTTACGTTAAGCTTAAATACATAATTATAAAAATGTGCAACTTCCCATGCCACTGTCAATCAAATGTACCTACCTGCACAACCAAAATAAAGAATAAAAAAAAAAAAAAATTTAGTTTGGCCAAATTGATTCATCTAAAAAAAAAAAAAAAAGTGTCTGTCGACTTGAGTTTCTTTCATGTGGATTAGTTTTGATTAGAAAGAATTTCACCTGTGGAGTTGTTTTTAGGATAACATAATTCAAACAAAGTAAAAGGTTGTGAAAATGGACCAGTGTGCTGCAAAATATATGCATAATATAAACATACATAATATAAATATTTGGTATGTATTTTGCAGTACACTGATGGGTACATATTTGGTTCACAGATCGAGTGAGAAGACGTAACAAATAGAAGGGAAAAAGCAGGAGCAGGAAAAAAAATCTATATTTATAAATGTATATGTTATATATTAATTAAATATATAAAATGTACATATATAAATATAGGCTTTTTCATTGCTCTTCCTTTTCCCTTCTTTTTGTTACTTCTTATCACTCGATCTGTGAACAAAATCAGCATTTAATGGCTGTCACCTAACAATCAATCATCTTTTTTTCTATTCTTTCATCTCTTTTTTTTGGCGCTATGGCGGAAACAAATTCAACTATTACCCATTTTATTTGTTTTGTGATTCATCCATATGTCTTTTCAGACTTATGGAATTCAGAAGAGCTGCCGATTGCAAAAAATTCCTCATGGCAGAATTTCGGTACCAAAAGACTGATTCGGGAAACAAAATATATTCATGATGTAAAATATTTTTTACTGCAAAATATATACATAATATAAATATTAACCACCATTGGGTTCATAATGAGAAAAAGAAAAAGCTAGAGGGAAAATAGCAGCAGTAGTAAAAAAAAAATTTAAATGTAAGAGGTGGAGCAGTAAAAAATCCATATATATTTCTTCATTGCATATTTATTACATTTTTTTAAATAAATTCTTCATTTTGCTAAATTTTTGGTTGTACAGAAAGCAAATAGGCCAGACATTTGTAATATTTTGGATTATACAGAATGAAGAAGGCCATTCGTTAATAACATTTTGTTTGTACAAAGGGTACAAGCTAAACATGTGACAACTTTGTTTAGTATTGTGAAGCTTGGTCAAACCGTTGGTCGCCCATTATGGGGTGTAGTGAGCATACCTGGGGACGTTAACCTTTGGTCCCCTGTGGGGGTCAGGACTTACTTACCTTACAGAGCTGGTGTTGCTGGTCTCTGTGTTTCCCTCATTGTGTGGTGAGCCCTTCCCCAGAGGGTCTGGTTCCTTTGTGCTAACCATGATGGTGTTAGTGGTCTTACTTGTTCGAAGTGTCTGGTGTCCGGGGCAGTTGGTTGGTGTGGGCGCCCAGTGGACTGTGGTTATGTGGGTTGTCTTCCTTGTTGGCTTGAGATGGTGGGTGGAGGGATGGGGAGGCGGCAGCCTGCCCCGTGTGCCCACAGCCCCCACCTCCTCACCCCCTGGGCCAGGGGAGGGCGGGGGCTCACTGGTGAGATGCATAGGGGAAGATGGGAAAGGAAAGGGTGGGTGGTGAAAGAGTGAGAGAGGAGGGGGGCGAGGTGGGAGAAGGGAGGGAAGGGGGAGAGAAGACAAGGGGTGGGAGTCACAGAGGGGGAAAGATAGTAAGAAGGGGGGAACGGGTGCCATTGCCTCAGGTCTCGTGTTGTTGAGTTGTGTCTGTCCGGGTTAGTGTGCAGGTATCTGTCATGTGTGCTTTTGTTTTGCTTCGCTTGTACTTCTGAGTGTCCTGGTTTGTGGGGTTAGGCTGTGTCTAGTTGTTTGGTGTATGCTTTAGGGATTCATGGTTGTCCGTATCTTCAGGTGCTCATTCTGGAGGGGCTGTGGGTTAGGGGTTATGAGCGGTTAGGTGTGGTGAGGTTAGCTCCAGGGTTGTTCTGGTCCCATAGGACCCAGGTTTTGTGAAAGGCTTTGTATGAATAGTGTATTTGGGCTGTGAGTTTGTCAAGGTCTCATGTTTCTTTTATTTTCCTTATAACGGTCATCATTGTGGGGGTGCATAAGTCTGCCAACAGTTCTGCTATCGCCTGTCTTGCCGCTAGAGTTGTCCATGCTGTTAGCTTATTTTCGCTCCTGGTTAAGGAGTCTGTTGGTTTCATGAGTAGCATGGTCCAAGGACCTGCTGTAACAATGATCATTTCTATGAGTTGGTGAACTTCTGTCCAGAAGGGTTTTAGTTTCGGGCATTGCCACCAGCAGTGGACGTAGGAGCCCGTTTCCCCACATTGTTTCCAGCATTGGCTGTTCGGTGGAGTCCAGTGGCGTACATACCATGGTCGCAGGAGTCGCGGCTGCGACCGGGCCCGGCCCACCAGGGGGCCCGGCCGCCCCTGCGACCCGGTATGTACCCACAGGGCCAGCCTCTTCTCCTGGGGGGCCCAGGAGGCGGCCACCTCAGGGTCGCCCTGAGGCTGGCCCTGCTGTCACCGGGCGGACTGCTTGGGTGGCCGGCGCGCGAGGGAGCACTCTCCTCTGAGTGCTTCCTCTTCAGCTCCCTCGCGCACCGCACTGATACCGGAGCCAGAAGATGACATCATCTTTCGGCGCCGGCATCCCTATGCGGCACGCGAGGGAGCTGAAGAGGAAGCACACAGAGGAGAGTGCTCCCTCGTGCGCTGGCCACCCAGACAGTCCGCCCGCGTAGCAGCACCACTGAACCCCAGGGAATCCCCCCAGCACTCCAAAAGGTAAGGAGGCTGGGGGGATTAAATAAAAAAAAAAATGTGTGTGTGTTTGTTAATGTGTGTGTGTTAGTGTGTGTGTGTGTCTTTGTGTGTTTGTGTTAGTGTGTGTATTTTTAGTGTGAATGTCTGCTAGTGTGTGTTTGTGTGTTAGTGTGTGTGTGTTAGTGTGTTTGTTAGTGTGTGTGTTAGTGTGTGTGTCTGTTAGTGTGTGTTAGTGTGTGTGTGTTAGTGTGTGTGTCTGTTAGTGTGTGTTTGTGTGTTAGTGTGTTTGTTAGTGTGTGTGTGTGTTAGTGTGTGTGTCTGTTAGTGTGTGTTTGTGTGTTAGTGTGTTTGTTAGTGTGTGTCTGTTAGTGTGTGTTTGTGTGTTAGTGTGTTTGTGTTAGTGTGTGTGTTAGTGTGTGTGTCTGTTAGTGTGTGTTAGTGTGTGTGTCTGTTAGTGTGTGTTTGTGTGTTTGTGTGTGTGTGTGTGTGTGTGTTAGTGTGTGTTTGTGTGTTAGTGTTAGTGTGTGTGTGTTAGTGTGTTAGTGTTTGTGTTAGTGTGTTAGTGTGTGTGTCAGTGAGTGTCTGTTATTGGGTGTGTGTCTGCTAGTGAGTGTGTTAGTGTGTGTGTCTGTTACTGAGTGTGTTTGATGTCTGTTAGTGAGTGTCTGTTTGGCAGTGAAAGTGTATGTTTTGTAAGTGAGTGTGTATGTATGTCTGTCGCTGAGTGTGTCTCTGTCAGTAAATGTGTGTGTCTGTTAGCTAGTGTGTATGTGTCTGTTCATGAGAGTGTGTGTGTGTCTTCAACATTTACCTTTCTCCAGCGTCGGACTCCTTGGCGCTGAGGATCCCTCCGCCTCTCAGCTCCGAATGCACATACGCGGCAAGAGGCGCGCAAGCGCATTTAAACCGCCCATAGGAAAGCATTACTCAATGCTTTCCTATGGACGTTCAGTGTCTTCTCACAGTAATGTTCACAGTGAGAATGGTCAATGAGACAGCCACCAGAGGCTGGATTAACCCTAAGTGAAACATAGCCGTTTCTCTGAAACTGCTATGTTTTCAGCTGCAGGGTTAAAACTAGAGGGACCTGGCACCCAGACCACTTCATTGAGCTGATGTGATCTGGGTGTCTCTAGTGGTCCTTTAAGTGTGTGTGCATACCGCGGTCGCGGGGTCGCAGCCCTGCAACCCCTGCGACCAGGTGCCCGCCACCATGTGTTGCAGCCCCGACCCGCGCCGAGTAAGCGCGGGGGGGCCCACGGATCAATTTTCGCACCGGGGACCCATGGGTCATGTGTACGCCACTGGTGGAGTCGGTACAGTGTTATGAACCATCTGTAGAGGGTCTTGTAGGCTTGTTCCTTGTGCGTGATACACGCCGTCAGTGAGCCTTTCGCTTCCCATATGTCTGCCTATACGCTCTGGTCGTCCAATGTCTTGTTTCCATGCTGCTACGTATATAATGTTAATTTGGAAGGTATGTGTTGTCAAAGTGTAGTATATGTGGAAGACGTGTCCTGAGTGTATTGGTGCATCGAAGCATTGTTTTTCGAATGGTGTAAGAGGAGACTTTCCCACTTGTTTGATCATGGGTTGTTGGGCTAGGTCCCACAGTTGCAGATAGCGGAAGTAGTCTGAGGTTTTTAGGGATTCTGCATTGGGGAGATTGTTGTAGGCGATTGTCTCTCCTTGCTGGTACAGGTGTAGGAGCCTGGAGATGTCTTAAAGTTGGTGAAATGTTTTCGGGTCATCCCTGGGGGGAAGAATTTGTTGCGATTGATTGGCATGACTGGGGATATGTATGAGGATAGGTCGTATTTGGGGTTTAGCTTGTCCTTGCTGGTATAGGTGTAGGAGCCTGGATATGTCTCACTGGTTAAAGTTGGTGAAATGTTTTCGGGTCATCCCTGGGGGGAATAGTTTGTTGTGATAGATTGGCGTGACTGGGGATATGTATGAGGATAGCTCGTATTTGGGGTTTAGCTTGTCCCATAGCGCCAGCATGTGGGTGATTGCCTCTGATGTGGGCGAAGGAAGTGGCCTATGTGCTGGGGGTATCCACATATAATGGGATGGTTGGTCCCAGGCTAGGATGTTGTGTTCCAGGTCCACCCACCTCTTGGCCCCTGGTGGTTCTCGCCATTGTTTAAAGGGAAACTCCAGTGCCAGGAAAACAATCCATTTTCCTGGCACTGCAGGTCCCCTCTCCCTCCCACCCCCCATCCCCCGGTAGCTGAAGGGGGATTAGAGCTCCCCATAGGAAAGCATTTAAAATGCATTTCAATACTTTCCTATGGGGAATTGAGCAACGCTGGAGGTCCTCACACAGCGTGAGGACATCCAGCAACGCTCTAGTACAGGTTTTCTTTGCTATAGAGCAGGAAGTGCTCTCTAGTGGCTGTTTATAAAAAAACTGCAATAATTACACTTGCAGGGTTAAGGGTAGTGTGTTATGTCACAAGTGGTTTAAATGTGGAACACAACTGCAAATTATAAATTTCCTTATTTTTATAATAGAGAGTGAAATGAGAATCCTTTAATTAATAAGGTTACTGTAGCTTTAAGGCAGAGTGGCTTTTGCAGGTTGTTAGTTGCAGGTTGTTAGATGCATTAATAATTGTAATAGTATTTTAGTAGTAGCAGATTTTAGCAAGCAGGTAACAGTTCATTAGCAACTAAGAACTCAGAGATGTTATCAAATTGTATTCTTAAGATTGTTGGGAGTTGTCCTCCAAAGACAGGTTAATTCGAGTCCGCAGGATGATTAAACATCTAACAGTCCAGCTTCCAATAATTAGAAAGAGAGCAGGTAAATCCAATACACGGTCGGTGGTCAGAGGGAGATGAGAAGGCAGGAATCCGTTTAGACAGTCCAAGGTTCGGTACACAGTATTAACGGAGAAGAGCTTAGCAGGCAATGTGATTGCGGAAGTAACAACCAGAAATCACTAAGCAATTTTTAATCTGGCGCGGTCTCTCTATAGAGCTTGAGAGAACCGCGTCAGAGAGGGGGCGGGGACGGTTCCGCATACCGGAAATGCCGGAACGGAGCCGAAAAGATAAGTCCTGACATAGTGGGCAGAAGTAGTCTCGGTGTCTGGAGTGTCCCTTTAATGTGAGAAAGTTGAGCTGCGTGATAGTAGTGTTGGAAATTTGATAGTCCCAGTCCTCCTTGCAGTTTGGGGACATACATTGTCGATCTTCAAATTCAGGGCCTTTTGGATTTCCATATGAATTTGTCTATGGCTGTTTGTAAATGTTTGAAGTCTGGTTTATGTATTGTAATTGGTAGGGTCTGGAAGAGGTACAGGAATCTGGGAAGGAGGTTCATCTTTACGGTAGTGACTTGGCCTAGCCACGAGACTCCTAGTGCTTCCTATCTCTGTAGGTCTGACAGGGCCATAGTGAGTAGCGGTTTATAGTTTAAGTCATAGAGATCCTTGAGTTAGGGTGACAGTCGGATGCCTAGATATGTAATGGAGGTTGTTCTAAATTTGGAACGGGAAGAGGTTTTTGAGCATGCAGAGTTGGTTCGGTTCCATCGCTAGGGGCATAAGGGTTGATTTTGTCAAGTTGATTTTGTATCCTGAGAATGCGGCGTATTCTGCGATCAATGTGAGTGTGGCTTATAGTGAATGGATTGGGCTCGTTAAAGTCAACAGGACATTGTCTGCATATGCCCCTACTGTATACGTCTCTTGTCTGATCCGAATGCCTTGGTTGTCGGGATGTGTGCATATAGCTTGTTGCAAGGGTTCCAGGGAAATGGCAAAGAGTAGCGGGGAAAGGGGGCAGCCTTTCCTAGTGCCGTTTCAAGCCTGCGCAGTTCTACTAAGGCCTCTGCCTGGTCCCTAAGGCATTTTTTGAGGGCAGTGGCTATTGATATCAGTCCTCCGAGTGGTCCGATCATGCTATGTTGCCTATTTGTGTTTGGCTGCATCAGGATTGTGTCATGTGCGAGATGAGGAAACCGTTAATTCTGGAGTAAAATTGGGAAAAAAAAGTGTAATCTCTAGTCCCCTTCAGGCATCCAGTAGGGGTGTGGTTTCTAAAAATTTGGCGAAGAGTTTGTTGTTCCTAGTTTTGGTTGGCGGGCGTCTTCGCTCACGTTCCCATTACATTTTTATTTTCTAATTATTTTTTTTCCCTCTTTTGATCAATTCTCACTTTACCTGTGACAAAAATCAACATTTATTGGGTTATTAACTAAACACTGTAATTTCAACTGCAACAGCAATTCTCATATTTACTATACAAAAGAATGAGCATAAATGCAGCACCTGCCCGGATTATTACTTTTGTGTCCGAACCCTATGTAAAAGTATAGGATTTGAAATCTTCCGATCAATATAGAAAGATACACTAATATATAACAAATATTAACATATTTTTAAAATTATTAAACCATTTTAGAAGTTAAAACAAAAATATAAAATCATTTGAAAATCTTATGAAAAAATATAAAATCAAGACCTTAATCTGTGAGTACAATGAAAATCAAACTTTCACAAAAATTAAAACCAACTCAAATGTTAAACGAGTGTTGTAAAATGAGCCTTGCCATTTTACAGGTAAAACTGGATACCCTGCCTCAGGGACACATTTCCCCGAGGGCCATAACATTATTTGGATATATAATTAACACATAAGTAAACACATATTTTGTAAAACCAATTGGGAACTGAAAAACGTAATGTTGTCTCACTAGCAAATGGACAGCAGTAAGATCATTGATTTTAAAATTTTCACATAGAATAAAATATTAGTAATTCAATAATAGACTTGTGCATGGTGAAAAAATCCAGCTTGGCTAATCCATTTCTTCCAAAAATACAAAATCGTGGGGACACACGAATTTTGGCCGAATGTTGGTTCAGCTGAGATTCTGATTCTGATTCAAAAAAAATTTGTGCAAAAATGGGCCAGTCAGTGTACATATAGTGTTATGTATATATTTTGCAGTACACTGATAACAACATTTACCAACTTATTCGGTTCACATATCAAGTGAGAAAAAGTAAGCAATAGGAACAAACAGGAAGAGCAGTAAAAAAATGTTGTTTTTTTTAATATATCTATTAACTATATAATATATAAACATAGATTTTTTTCTACTGCTCATCCTCTTTTACCTCTAGTGCTCCTTTCTCATTTAATCTGTGAATAAAATCAATGTTTAGCGACTGACCCTCTAGCCATTAATCATCTCTTTTTTTGATACTAAGGGAGGAATTTTGAGTCATGCATCAAAACTAACATGCCCGGCCATTGTGCGTTTTGGTTGGTTCACGATTTGGCTTCACTTTGGCTTGGAGTTCGTGAGGTTGACTGATCATCCTATTGGCAAAGTGGAAGAACTACCTCACAGAGTCAAGGGGCCCATCAGGTGATCCATGCACTCTGGGCCACGCGATGGCCATTTTTTATCAGAGGCCCGGTCAGACGCCACAGCTCTTTAACAACACGACCAGTCACCTGCTCAGTGAAGTCGCGGTGCTAGGAGGAACTAAGTACAAGTCACTTCCTCCCAGCTTACCATTGAGCCATGCAGGAGAGGGCAAGAGGGGAGGACAATAGAGAGGAGGGAGAGCCTGGACTAGAGAGGAGGGAGACCCTGGACCAGAGTTCCATCAAACCCTGGGAAGTCACCCTCCTGCACCAAAAATGTACACAAGGGGATGGCTAAAAATCTGTAAATTCTGATCTTTGTGTGAATACATCTGTGTGTGTGTGTCTATGAGTGTATGTGTTATCTGTATGTGTATATATTTGTGTGTATATGTGTTTTATGTGTGTGTATGTGTTATCAGTGTGAGGAAGGGGTGAAGCCGGAGCCCGGAGGAGAGGTGGAAATAGTAATTGGAATCAGTGTGTGAGTGTGTCTATGCAACTGCATATGTGTCATTGGGTGTGTAAATATTTAAAAAGTTTATCCAAAAATATTAAATGTTTTGAAAATCTTATCCAAAAATGTTAAATTAAAAATTATGCTTGCTTTAGTGTACTAATAATCTTAATTTTAGTAATGACAGGAAGCGAAAATTTTGAATAAACCTCCCTTACTTACTCCATATAGCGGCAAAGAATAGAGAAACAAAAAACAATCAGATGTAAGGATAAGGTATCATAATTCCCTTCCACTGAGATACTTCCTCCTGTCAAAGCGACATCACAAGTCCCATAACAATAACAAATGTACAGTATAA